ATCGACAGGGCGTTTCGCAACCCCTAATTCGACGATCACATTCTCTCTCTCTCTCTTCTTTTCCCCACCCCGTCCCGAAAAATCTTTTGCACTCTGCCTCTCGTGTTCGTTACAATATTTACAAAAAACGTACGTACAACATAGGGTATACAGTTTCGGTATCAGAGAAAGAAGAAAAGAAGGTTAGTACGATACACAACGATAAACATGTTCAAATCTTTCCGTGTCTTTTCCTCTGTGATCGCCGGTTACAGGGCACCGAACGATCCATCAGCATCGTCGTCGTCGTCTGTTCTCCTCTTTTACAATCGCCTGTACGATCCATTCACGAATTTCCCCCTGAAAAATTGCACTCGACCTCGACTTTCTCTGCTATCAAAGGGAATTTCGATCTTCCAGTTGAACCGTTTGATCAATAGTCAATAGTCTTACGCGATCCTATTCTCGTCGTCGCAATTCTTCTTATCTTCCGACCAAGATATCGTTCTCTCTCGGAAGGATACCAGAGATGAAACGGTCGATTTCGTTCGATATCTCGCGGACATAGATCGCAATTCCCGGCGCTCCAGGTGTACAGTACTTAATCAAATCGGTACTCTTCAGCGCTACGGAAACGATCAAGCACGCAATCTACCCACTAAAGCTACCTGTTGCTTTTCGACATGCTTTCTTTTGTTTTCGCATTAGTTTTCTCTCTCTCTCTCTCGCATTCTCTCTCTCTCTCTCTCTTTCTTGCTGTTTAGCTCGATTAGTGTTTCTTAAACAGTACGGGTATAAAAAGGAGTCGTTTGTTTCGCGTCGGCGCGCTGGCCGTTCTTATAAAAGTTCTGGTGAACTGCAACCACGTGGAGCTTGGTCAATGTTCGCGCAGTTGTTGGAGAAAAGAGGGTGTGTAAAATTGTCTGCGAGCGTAATTTTCCGACAAGACGTGATTTACACCGGATGAAATTTATAAAATTTTTATTTCTTTTTTGAAAATTCTGACAATTTCTGTTTTGACGCTTGATTACCGCAGAAATGTCCTTTTTTTTTTTGGCGAGAAGTGAAAATTAGAATTTTCGAATTTCCACTCGTTCGACGGGAAGAAATTTGGAGTACAATTATTTTCGTTGTTAAAAGTACGAGCGAAATGTCGAAGAGCAAGTGTACAAGTTCCTCTCTGTAACCCAAACGTTTGGCCACTGTTTTGCATTACAACTTCTTCGATTACCCTTAAGAAAAACGAAGCTATAATAACAGATCTTTGTACATTAAATTAAAACATTATTTCCATTTCTACACAGTTTTATTAAATATTTGTACTAATTTTAGAATCACAATTATGTACAAAATTAAAATAAATAAATCAAACCTTACAAGATAATACAAGAACGTAAAAATATCGCATATGTCGAATGGGTTACAGAGCGTTCAATAGTAAAACTTCTCTCTCGTGAAATTCAATCACACTTTTCGTTCGTATAATTCCAAGATAAATTGTCTGCATCAAAACTTAAAAATTTCTTTAAAAACCTCTAAATTCTACATGTATAAATTTTCACCAACACTGAATCAAAATTCAACGTCCAATTTGCCTCCTTCGCTGACGAGCTAACATTCACCGATTTTGACGAAACTTCGGTTTATAGTAGTTCTCAAAGAAACATTAAACACACATCTTTTTATATCGACAATCTTCCACAACGAAAATGTGAAAATCGTCCTCAATGTTGCGGATCGCAAGTGTATTTAGTCTAACACACCTCGAAAACTATTAGAGGCACAAGAATATAGTGTAAATTGACAAAATTTGTGTTTCTCGATAAATTTGAAAAAATCAAAAATATGCAAACTTAAGGACGATTTCCATCGCTTCGATGTGAATGATTGCCAATAAAAAAAATATATGTGTCTAATATTTTCTTGAGTACTAGTGTATACAAAAGTTTCATCAATATCGGTGATTATCAATTCGGAATGTTTCCCCGTAAGTTAAAAATCAAAATTTCCTCCTCTAATTCCTCCTCGAACCACGTGGACACATTTCCTCTCTCTGATCTCAAAACAACCGTGTCAAAAAGCTCAACGTGGCGCACCAGTCGATCGTTAAACAGATCGTCCTGCGTGAGGAAAAGCCTTCTAGGACGATCCTGTCATAGAAACGCGAGCCTATCGTAAAAGGTAGACACGCACGACAGTCAAGATTACCGGTTAAGATCGATACAATTAGTCCCCCCCAAAAAAAGGAAAAAAAAAAAACGTGTATCGTTAGCAATATATCGTTATCATTTACTATTATTGGTTCAGTTTGATTGGACCGCGTGCATGACAGACGATTTACCATTCTAAATCGACATTCGGCTACTTATTTCTCCTCAACTCCGTCGTCGTTCTTTATTATACTCGCGGAAAAATCGTCGCGGGAGTCTCGCGTGTCCTTGTTCGATCGATTAGAAAAAAGCTCGCCGGGAGAGGCACTGGATACGTGTAAAAAAGTCTCCCTTTGATATTCTAGCTTCTATGAAAATCGGCTAGTAGAAAATATCGTATCTTCGTCGCTTCCTCCGGCATATTATTCCTAAACGTTGTAAAAAGCTTGCAAACTCGACGAGACTCCGATTCAATTTCTTCTTCTTCTTTTTTTTTTATTTTCACAATTTTCTGTTTTTTTTCCTTCGAAACGCGAGCTAGAATGATTCAACGGGCACGCAAAATCTGCGCGCGTCACCCTTTCCCATCGAGGGATCGAAGAAAGGATAACCGCTTAACACGTGTGCGTCAAGAGACACGTGAATATTCCATTAGAAACTGTTCCGGTTGTAATTCGGTATATAAAAAGTTAGATTGGCTTTTACGCCGGCCAACGAGAGGCCCCTCAGTCGTTGCTGAAAGTTTCATCGGTAGATAACGCATTTTATGAACGGCGTTCCTTGTTTTCAAGTCGCCTCTTAATCGATATGATTGTATAAAAGGATATAGTAGAACACGTGACATTGCTTCGGTCATTGATTATAGAACGGTTTAAACGGTAGCAGATGAGCGGTTAAAGTAAGAGAAGAAAAAAGAGGAAAGAAACAGTTTGGTAGATGGTCTTCGTAAGACCGTTCCTCTTATTTCTCGATGTCTTCGACTTTGAGCGCGCTCATGTTCCAAGTAACGAACAATTGTATCGTGGGTATGTGTAAAAGGAATGCACCGAGTGATAGTGTTAGAAATATTCAAGTGAAGAGTACAGAGTCAATGTTAATCCACAATGGTATATACGTGGTTTAGTAAGGAACTTGTTAAAGAGTTGGTTTGTTAGAATAGAATATTCGATTTGATACAGAACGATTATAAAATGTCGGTTAAAGACAAACTCGTCTTCGTTTGTCAACGGTATTGCGTATTGTGTTAGGAAAACATTGGTAGTGTTCAATTCTATTCGATTTAAAAAGTCCACGATTCAAGTTATCTAAACAAGTCGTTTTTCCCCACTTGTCCGATCGAAGACAAAATTATTCGTCGGTTCAAGGTATCATCCCGTTCAACGCGTCTCGATTTTATCGATAATTTGGTTAGCTGAAGCTGTGAAACGGGATTGAAAAGAACAGGTGAAAATTGTATGAACGAGATCTGAAGTTGTAGCATGAAACATTGAGAAGTTAGCGTAACAATCGTGTTAGTTGAAGAAATTCTGTGTTTCCGTTCGTGTACGTGTGTGTATGTGTATGTGTGTACAGCCTCTACGACGAAGAGCAAACAAAGTCGCGTTTTGCGTTTATGATCGAGGTCCATCGAATCGATTATTGGTTTATCGTGTCCACGTCGCAGAGGACTATTTCTCAATATCGTACGATATCATCTAAACATACAGCATCAAAAAGTCGATATATTGATATAAACGCTCATATGTGTTTCATTTATATTACATACACACTTATTGTACGAGGCTTTGAAAAAACGCAGTGCGTGTCATCGTGTGTTTGGTGTGTTCTGTAAACAGTGTCTACTTTCATCCTCTCTCGTTTTCCATTTTGTGTGTCTGTAAAGCACCTTCTTCTTCAAGTAACAAAATCTTGTGCTCGACTATCATGTCTGTCTCGTCGTCATATTCACGTCATGATATACAGTCGTTCCTTTGGAATAACGCAAAAAACGACTTACAAACTGTCTTTCCACCTTATTTTAACACGTTTCAGCGGACATCAGAGATACTTAGCTAAGCCTAGTTAACTCTGGATTATTAAACTTGCACACAGAAATGCAATCTCGCAATTCCCGTGTGTGTTATTTCTTTTTTTTTTTTTTTTTATACTTTAATTTAGTTGGCTCTAGCCGAGAGGACCGCGATTGTCGCACGGTGTCCAGCTCTCGATCTCTAAAGATCGAGAATCGCTCGCGAATCGTCGACCGTCCCGGCTGATGGGACAACGAAAGTTAGCAGCTTAAGATTTATATATCACATCCTCAATATGTGCGGCAGTATTTTGTTTCGCTTACGCCCTAAAAACATAATCGGCCGTCGAGAACTCGGCGCTGAGATTGATGTTTGACATCGAACTACCTAGTGATTATAACCTGCAGCCCCGACTCGCGGTGTACCAACATTCTTGCTAAAAAAAATTCTCCTATTTGACCGAGGCCGAGCACGAGCCTCTGACTCGATGCTCGTTCTTTGTCGTGATCAGTTTTCGATTGGCAGTATCGATCGGACTTTCGTCCCAGAGACCCTAAAGCGTACATCGATTATCCTAGAACGCGGTTGATCGCGGCTGGCTGGTTCAATTTCCGGTCAGCCAGGAACGATATCCGGCCAAACAGATTTCATACAGATATATAGATCTCTCTGGCGATAAACAACACAAAGCCGAACTTCATCTCTTCTTCGAGGATAATCGTCGATCTTTCGTTCTCCACTTCCCTCGTTCCGTGCTCGACAAACACAGAGGACGCTGAACGTGTGCACACTCAGGCATTAGGACCTCGAAACGGCGACCGAATGAATCACAGAGAACAAAGCGAATTCTTCTCGCCCTCTCTCTCTTAGTCCTTCCACCAGCTGCATAAACAGCAAAACCATCGCCTTTCGGGATGGGGTTGAAGTATCTGCTATTGTCAGTGCATCGCCCTGGTGGTGGTCAGATGTGTGGTCTCTGCCCTTTTCGGCGGTGGTGGAGGTGGCCTTCTTTTGTTAGCGATGGCGTTCACGATACTGATGCTACGATTATCATCGGCGAACCTGACAGTGGTTTGCCGAGCTGGACTGGAAGCGTACTCCACAGGAGCGTGAGGATCTGTCGCGTAGACGTTCTCGTACAGATTATCGGCCCCGTAATGTTCCTGCACCCAATTCGACACGTTGGTTTCCCTGTAGTCAGCCACGGCAGGTGGTGGATCACGGAAACCGAGCACTTCGTGCGGGGTCGTGGTCGAATCTAACTTGCATTTCTGCGCCACTTGCCATTTCTTCCTCATCACTCGCTGGAGATCCTTCAAGAAATCACCAGGAGGCGCCTGATCGGACGCGGCAAGCTTCTTGGGTGACGTGAGCCTCGTACTGTCCGATCTTCTCGGTGGCATGGGTTTCCTCTGAGGCCGGAAGATTGAACGTGATCTTCTTACCGGTTCCAGTCTTCGATTTCGGCGACGTTGGTGGTTCTTGAATGGTCACCCTACGCTGTGGCTGGGGACTGGAAGCAGCCTTCAATTCTGCTAGATAAGGCGGAGCCGCGTAATGGCCCGAGCCTTGCTTCATGGCACTTCGTCGTACGGTGTCCATATTCGGGTTTGGCCTGATTGGTTGAATTGTGTTGTGCTGGTGGATCGGTTGGTGGCTTCCGTATATCGATTCGGCCTTCGAGTTTTGTCTCGTCAAGCTGGAACTGCTGTTGTGCTGCTGCTGAGAGCCGTACGCCGGCGGAGGAACGAATGGCGGAGGTGAGGCGAAGTTTGGCGAACTTGGAGCGTACGTTGGCGTGCTCGCGCTGGATCCTGGATAGGAACTATGCGGAGAGGGCACCGGATTTCCGATGTTATTCGCGTGGAGCGAATTCTGCGCGTTCGAATTATAATTCTGGCTGTTCTGCATCGTTGCATTGCTCGCGCTCGAGTACATCTGTTGATTGTTCGACGGCCTCGACGGCGTGTGCGTTGGCGTGCTCTCAGGAGTCACGGAATTCGTCGGAGTCGACTGTTTGGGCCTTGCGCGTCGAATCGTTCCCGTTTCGCCAACCAGAGGACTCGGAGGTGGCGGAAGTGACGCTAGACTCAACGAAGAACCGGTGAGTTCTGGAGTGTTGCACACTGGCAGTTCACCAGGTGCTGGGGGCGGTGGCAGAGAATCCAAGGAGAGATTTGACCGGAACATCTCCGGTGGAGGCGGAGGAAGTGGCTCGTTGTCGGATTCTGTTTCTTCTGCGACTCTTGACGGTGACGGCGGCGGTGGTAACGAAGTAATCGAATCCATCTATGAAGAAAATGTATCGAGTAAAAAAATTGTTTCAATCGCATACATGTTACATTACCAAAATAAGGGAATACTGTTACAACAAAAACTCACCATACACGATGGTATCGGACTGGTAGGCGTCTTCGATTCCTGAATCTCCGTTCTGTTGTACCCCATAGGACTTGCCCTTTCTCTAACCGGTGTGCCAGGAGGAATAGGACTGACGGGAGTCGCGTTACCAGATCGATGATGTCTCTTCAACGTTCCAGATCCATCCGAATCGGTGCCGCTCCTTCTACGACTGTGCCTTCTGGTCAACGTTCCCGATCCCGAACTCGTTGGACTTGGACAAGAGTCAGGCTCGTCGCGAACTGTCTCGCCAACTTCTTTCAACTGCCTCGTGATCGATGTGAGGGGCAATTTCGGGTTCATCGAGGGCTTCCTCTTTATCGTGCCCGTTGGAAACTCGCCACACTCGAACGCTACCTATGATAGAAGAGCAAGCCGATAAAACACCACCGTCCAACAGCACCTAGATGACCCCCATCAAATCCTAAATTCTCGTAATTACCTCGCAACTGCTTGGTGCTCCATCGGACAAACATCCGCTGGAACTCGAGCTGCTGGCTCTGCTCAGCCTGCCGTCGTTGTTGTAACTCTGTCGTTGCTCGGAATTGTAACTTTGCCTCTGGCCGTCGTACTGTCTGGTATTAGCCACGTCCACGTTGTGCCTGGAATTCTCTGTGAACTGGCGAGCGTTGTCGTTGGTCGTGTTGTACTGGGTCTGATTCTGAGCCGGCACAGCGATCGAGCTAACTGAACAGGACCTTGCGTGTGCCAGCATATCGAGATCCTCTTGTGCAAGCTCGTCAACCAGAGTCCTGTAGTTCTCCATCAACTGTCTCCCGTACTTGGCCACCCTTATTCCGACCATCCATCGTTCCAAGGACGCGTTATCCTCCGCGCAAAGGAATTTAATATACTTCGTGGACTTTGGCTGCTGCAGCCTAGGATGCTTCACGGCGAAACAGAAATCTGTCGGTGCTTTGTACTTCTTCTTCCAACCGATGCCGTAGTAGATTTGATTCACGTCGAACGTAGCCAGACAAACCAGGTCGCGCGCAGTACGAGCCTTTTCCTTTGGCCAGTAGTAGAGGCCGGATGCTCGGAGAATGAAGTGGTACCTCTTCCAACCCTTCTTGCTATCAGATTTCAGATACAGCGGTCCCTCGACCTACACCGTTCACATAATTCAATACGTACAGCGACTGAACTGGAGTCAAAATTGAAGGTTCGACATACTCTAACACGTTCAAGACGTTTGCTACGTTTCTCACGACCGGATGATTCGATTTTACCCAAGTATTTAGTATCGTTAACAATTCGTTCTTCATTTTCTAATCTTTTCACGGAATATCGTGAAATAATGTGGCGAACCTCCGGTGGATCACGTAGGTAAATAAGAGAATCACTCGATGATCCATCGGTGAGTCACACCGTCCTGATCGTGTTAAGTATGCTTCTATTATTCGTTTCGCTTCCTTGCCTCTTTTATTCGTACATTTCCTCAGAACACTATCCGTTTCTTTTAGAATGTTTTTAGTATAATTTCGCGAATTAATGAAAAGTGTGATATGAAAAGGCTAATTACCTCTGGTACACCGACGTTGCTGCTAGAGAAGAATTCCTCCAGGAGAATATTACGCGAATGATCGTCGTATTCGCCGCTATTCCTATCAGACGGACCCAGGAGGAATCTTTCCGGTGTGAAAAATAGCTGAGTTTTCTCTGGCCTCTCGACGAAAAGCAGCTTGTTCTTCGAGTCTCTGGTCCACAGCAAAAGATTTTCTACCAGCAACTCGTGATCCTCGTACACCCTCTCTGAAAATCGACGTTACACGAGAGGGAAAGTAAAACATCTGCGATTCGTTGAAGATCTTTCAACGACGTATGTAATAGGGAAAAGATGTTCACCCATGAAAAGATCTGGCAAATGCTCGACTACCGCCCACTTTGGATCCATTGGCACGTGATTTTTATCGGCGAGAAGCCTGCACACGTGAGCTACGCTCATTCCCTCGTCTACGAGCAAGCTTTTGCCACTGCCGTCCAATGTGAACGCTTTGATGAAGAGTTTCTGAATGTTCGCCTCGCGCATCTTCTCCAGAGCCAAGAGGATTTTCTCTGCCTTAACTTTGCTGGCAGTGTCTTAACGGGGGGGAAATAGATAAGCGTTAACGTAGGATTTGTGTGTTTTTTATTTTTTTATTTTTAAGTGCATTGCAATCCCCGTGTTTGTTACTTTCGATAAATTAGAAAAGTGTATTTGTGACAAATGAAAGGAAAATATTTGGTGTCGGTAATAAAATTGATAGTTTACAAGAATAATCTTGAAACTTTCGTCTGTTAGTAGTTGCAGATCAAATATAAGATTTTTCATTTTTACGACAGTTTTGACCTCAATATTCACCTATAATTTCTATATCTAATCTACGAGTATTCTGTACATCGTTCAATACGCCTCTTAGAAATAGATAAAACGTAAAATAATTACGAAATTAACATTGATAGCTCGTGAATGAATTAATTTCGGGGGAAAGGCTGTATTCGGACTGATTACCGTGTAAAAAGTGGAAGATCGAAATTTAAAGACTGAAAGATCGAAATTTAAAGACTGAATTATCAAAATTTAAACACTGGAAGATCCAAATTTAAAGACTGAAAGATCAAAATTTAAAGGCTGGAAGATCCAAATTTAAACACTGGAAGATCCAAATTTAAAGGCTGGAAGATCCAAATTTAAAGACTGAAAGATCAGAATTTAAAGACTGGCAGATCAAAATTTAAAGGCTGGAAGATCCAAATTTAAAGACTGAAAGATCAAAATTTAAAACACCTCGAATTTTTCCATTGTTATCATTATTGTAATTAAGTAAAAAAATTGCAGCTCACCCATAAGTTGGTGAGACTGTTGCTGAGGGCCTGTGTGCATGGCGGTCTGAGGTGGTTTGTGCCCGGAACCGCTGCTGCTCGCGGAACTCTCGCTGGACAACATCGACACCGTGTCCGAGAATGCGCTGTCATTGTCGGGACTGTCGGTGCGCATAGCTGAAACAAATATTTGACAAATGTTATCCAGAGCAGGAGCTATTATACAAGAACAAACAGCTTCGCAATTACAACCTGGGCAGTAACTAGTTTAGTTTATCTCGCCTAAACATATTTGACTAGTGTGCTTTAAGTGAGATAGTATAGAAAGCAATATTGAACAGCATCCAATTATACAAGACAAATTTTGTATCTTGAGACCTACGTGTAATTGTATCCTCTGAAGTAGCTAAATTTGACGGGTTTTCGTCTTCGTCAATCTCGGATTACAGAAAATCCATATTGTTGTTACAGTATAGGACATAACTGACACATCGAATTTCTCATAGATCGAAGGATATAATAGAATTTTCAACATATAAAAGACAATTATATCGTAATACTTAAAAAATTGATATTTGTATGTAATTTTCTACCTCGAATATTTAGAGTAATTAATATTTAAACGTGGAATATTTCATCTATCGATGAAATCATTCAACCCTTTCGTAGGACGATGTTTAGGACGATGCAAGTACCTACTTATCAAAATATTTCGACAGTATTGCAAAATATTATAAAGACAATTATATCGTAATACTTAAAAAATTGATATTTGTATGTAATTTTCTACCTCGAATATTTAGAGTAATTGATATTTAAACGTGGAATATTTCATCTATCGATGAAATCATTCAACCCTTTCGTAGGACGATGTTTAGGACGATGTAAGTACCTACTTATCAAAATATTTCGACAGTATTGCAAAATATTAGGTCATCCCATAAGTTCGTGCCGAATTTAAAAATTCAGATCGATGTTTCCAACGAACCTTTACATTTGACAAAAAAAAAAACGTAAGCGCCTTCTCGTTCCACAACTTTTTTCTATTTTTTTAGTAATACCATTATGTCGTCGCTGTAGTATTTCCTTGAATTTTCCTTAAATTATTTTTCGTTCTCGGCACGAACTTATGGAACGACCTAATATATGGTTTCCTTATTCTTATTACAAATGTGACTAAATTAAGTTGTGAAAAACTGGACCATTTTATTTCCCTATTTTAGCGAACACCAAAACGGTTAACTAGGTATTTAATCACTCTCGATTCCACAAAGAATTAAGTTACCAAAAATTGGACCATTTTAACATTTCCTTATTTCACTAAACAACGAAAGGGTTAACTAGGCAACGTAACTACTCTGTATTCGATTACAGAAAAAAATTACAACGATAAAATAATAAATTTCCTCGTTCAACAAATCACCTCCAAATCAAGTTACCAAAAACTGCACCATTTCAAAATTTCCTTATTTCAATAAACAACGAAAGGGTTAACTCCCCCAATTCGATTACGAAAAAAAAAACAAACAAACGACAACGACAAAACAATAAATTTCCACGCTCGTTCCTTCAAACTCGACAAAACAAACTCACCTCCTTCATTCTTGCTGATGTCGGTATTGTCTCCAGCCGTGATCCTGGTGCTGTTAGGTCGACCCTGTCTCTGCGTGTCCGACGCAGGTGTAGCAGCGATGTCACCGTCGCAGCGGCGCTCCAGAGCGCACAGCTCGCCGAGTATGGCATCCAGATCGACATCCTGAGAATCTGCAACGCGAAGGGCAAAATCGATTAATCCTGCGGCAAGAGGGGGGAAAAACAGAAAGACGAGAAACTCGACGAGAAACGAACAGCGGCAGCAGCATCTGCCGAGGGTAAAAGTGAATATCTCACGTGGAGGAGAACGCCCAACTTTTCGCGGACGTTAAAAGAAGGATCGTGTTCGTACCGATTACGATCGCTGGGAAACTGGTAATGGTCGACACGAATTATGAACGATCCGACGATGAAACCAGTTCCGCGCTAATTGCCCGCACGATTGTACGGTCATCTGGTAACCGCACGTTCTCGCTCGTGTTCCTCGAATGTGAAACGAGGCCTCGGGCCGCAACTCTCGTGTACCTGACCTCGTGCAACCGAGGCGAAAGTCCTTGGCTGACGAAGAAACCAACGGTTTTAATTGCCACCGTAGATCGTTTGCCTGCAAAACTGGTCGATGGCTGTTTTTTAATTCTTCTTTTTTCCAATTTCTCGGGGGAGAATTCGTGCAGCACGTCGAATAAACAAACTTTTCGCATTCTAGGGAGAGCGGCGAGGAACAAAGTCGAAATGTGTCTTCCGTTAAGCTCTAATTATTGTAATTATTAATTTCGATGGAATTTTCACTGCCAGCGAACTCTTAATTCTTCGATAGAGCAACACTTATGATATCGAGGTGCAATTTCGTTTGCAGGAGCTACGTTGTATTCGAAGTTTTGTTGCAAGTTGTAATTACTGTGATTATCGAGAGTTCGATGGAATTTCTATGGAGGTCTCACGAGTAGCGTGTTCTCTTAGTACTTTGAAAAAGCAACACTTGTGACACTGAGATACAACTCAATTTACTGGAGCTGCGTTGTATTCGGTGTTTCATTGTAAACTGTGATTATTGAAATTATCAAGTTCGATGGAATTTCTCTTGAATTTACTCAATTATTCGAGAAAGCAACACTCGTGGTTCTGAGCTTTATTTTTATTTTCTAAAATATGTAACTATTATTTCTATTTTTTATTTATTTTACTGCCTTATACATGGATAATTTTAATAAATTTTATTACATTTGTTCTGCTTGAAATCTGTCTCCCTAACGATACCAATTATCAAGAATAACGCATAGAATTTCTCAAGCGACAGAATTAAACAGCATTTAATTTCACGGCAAGGAAAAGAAAGAAGAACACTGTATTCTCTACAACTGTACAAGAACATAAGTTCGTTCTAACTTTAAACGTTTCCGCGTTGGAGATCATTTTCCTGCAACCCTTGTTGCAACCATCTTCCAGGAAGCATCACATACGAAATCGAAGGTATAAGCCTGAACACGCTCCTCCGTGTAGTGTAATAATTAACATGGATCGTTACCCGCACGTGATAATATCGACTTCGTTAAGATAATTAAGAAAATTAGCCTCTGCCCGGTAAGACTACGCGGATCAGCCGATCTCGTTGGAGAAAATTGTTTAAAATGCATTATGCAATAGCTATACGGCACAGCCTGCTAAATGGTCGTCGCATTTTTAATTTCAAACGTTTCACTTCTTTCTTTCGTCATGGGTTCGATATTTAACGTTTAAAAAGTGTCCCTTTTTCCTTTCGTTATGGATAGAATACTTAAAATTTAAAAACTTTCAATTCTTCCTTTAGTTATGGATTGAATACTTAAAATTTAAAAACTTTCAATTCTTCCTTTAGTTACGGATTGAATACTTAAAATTTTAAAGCTTTCAATTCTTCCTTTAGTTACGGATTGAATACTTAAAATTTTAAAGCTTTCAAGTTTTCCTTTAGTTACGGATTGAATACTTAAAATTTTAAGGCTTCCAAGTTTTCCTTTAGTTACGGATTGAATACTTAAAATTTTAAAACTTTCAATTCTTCCTTTAGTTACGGATTGAATATTTAAAATTTTAAAAGTTTGCATTTTCCTTTAGTTACGGATTGAATACTTAAAATTTTAAAACTTTCAATTCTTCCTTTAGTTATGGATTGAATACTTAAAATTTTAAAGCTTTCAATTCTTCCTTTAGTTACAGATTGAATACTTAAAATTTTAAAAGTTTGCATTTTCCTTTAGTTACGGATTGAATACTTAAAATTTAAAAACTTTCAATTCTTCCTTTAGTTATGGATTGAATACTTAAAATTTACGAATTGAATAATTAAAATTTTAAAGCTTTCAAGTTTTCCTTTAGTTACGGATTGAATACTTAAAATTTTAAGGCTTCCAAGTTTTCCTTTAGTTATGGATTGAATATTTAAAATTTCCAAAAAGCACTCAAATACAAATTACTTCGATTTTCATTCTTCAGTGAACGCATTGAAATTCAGCTGTGATTATTCCATCACGAGGAAAGCTCTGCTTATCGAGAATTGTCCTCTTTTCGCAATACGAATCGCAATTAGAGAGTAGCAGTTCAGAATGAAATTCTTACGAATTGCGCGAAGGCGTGAGCTAAGCATTCCATGACAAGACTCACGAGTGCAACTAAGGGCACGTGTGTAGGCACACTCACTATGCCAAGTCCTTTCTACGCATTCGCTCAAGTGTACACGTAACACACGTTATATCCTAAAAAAGAAAAACTGTACACTGGCACATAAGATCTGTCCAGCACGGCTTATCGAGGTGATCAATTACTTGTGAATTAGTGTCAAGATCGCTACTAATTTCGGATCATGAGGTGTCACGTGAGCTAATCGAGCTGAAAGATAAACAAGTGAAGAAACTGTGATAATACGATGTTAGAACATTACGTACCATTCTTGCACGAATCTACAAGCCAACTTCTTCAAAAACACAATTAACAATGCTTCGTTATAAACAAAATCACAAATTTCCTCGTTCGTTTACTCAAACTTGAGTAAACAACAATATCTCCGGATTAATAAATAAATCTCGGAGGAAAGAAATTCGATAAAAATTTCTATGGAAACGAAATTTATTAGCACGCTACGCAAACTACATTTCACTCCTGCGTATCTGTGTGATAAGAATGATAATTTGAGAATGAAAAAATTCAAATTTTTCTTTAATATTCTATTCTAAGTTAAGGAATATCTCGGACGAAAATAAATAATAAACGTGGATAAAGAAATGTAATCGATCAAATCGTACACCGTCGATATCGTGTCTCTACCCCAAAGGATATCACTTTTCTGACAATATCTCGATCAACCAGAGCCTTCTCCATTCTCTCGAACAAAAGGCGAATCCATTTACTGGTCAGAGAGTATCAGGATTCAGAGACACCATCAAAGGTTGCCAACGAACGAATGACGAAGTCGACGTGGAATGCGACGGTATCTCGCTCTGAATTGTCCAGCTACGCGAATGCACGCGGATCTCTGCGTCGACGACGGTGAAGAGGAAACCCAAGAAACTCAGGCTCTAACTTTATCAATCGGATTCTCGTCCGTGGCTCGCATTTCCAGCCTGCTGACGCCAACTTTTCACAGGACAAAGATACGACAAACTATCGCGTCGAATAACGCTCGATATGTTAGAAGATAAAGGGGAATTTACCACCCTTCAGAATTTAGATACTTTTTCTCACATTCAGCTTTTCCTAGACTCTCTAGCCGGAATCTGAGGAAAATTGGTCGAAGCGTCTAATGCTAGGAAAATTTTGAAAAATTCGATGTTATGGTAACGTTGAAATTATCTCCAATTTTGTAGAATTTCGTTCTAGTCGGCTTTGATCTTCGTTTAAAAAATATTAGTATGTACGTGATAAATAGTTAAATGAGAGTACATACACATTAGTAAAAAGTCTCAAAAGTAAAGTTGTACTTCAGACTAGAGAGTGGCGCCTTTAGTCGTACTTTCACCTTAATTTTATCCTCATCAATTTTAACTCAACAAGGCAAATTTAAAATTTAATTTGTCAATGATACAAAATTTAAACTTTGACACGTTCAGAACAAAAGCGAGTGCCACTCGTGTTAATTAAAGTCTGCCGCAGCGAAAGGGTTGAAGAGCCCCAAAATCCATTTTCGGCACATTTTCTTCTAACGTACCTTTTCCCTAACACTCTGCAAGAAGAAGCACACAAGTGAAATAATTAAATACAATAGAAGCTCCACCATGCACGAGGTAGAATTGCAACGTTGAGGGAGACGACTTCGCGCAGCCAAATTCTCTACGCCGACTATACCCAAGAACGTACCTCCACTAATCACCAATTGTTAGTCAAAGACCAACCATTCATAAAGTTCCCGAACAGTCGTCTACTTAACAATGAGCTCTAATCGTGGTTGAGCTCAACTTCGTCGATCATGCGAGAATCGGTGCTTTCTGTGCGGCAGAACCGTTGACCAACGATAACAATGAGAGCGGAAGTTCTGCGAAACGTACTTATGCCAGGCGGGGAAACTCCGCTGGAAAGCTACTCGCACGATGCTTCTTGCGCTGTCCGCGATAACGCTTCGCTGGTAATCTTGTTCGAGCTGGTTTAAGCGAATACAGGAAGCAAGTGAATCTGAATTGTTCTTACGAGATAGTTTTTGACGGCGTTTCACCGAGGACAAGTGTCACATTTACGAGTGAAAATGAAATGCAATCAGTTGTACGAGGGTGGACTGAAAATTTCGCAGTTTAAATATGAAAGACTCTTAATAGGTTCTTGTAATTTTTATACCGTATAATTTGTGATTATTTTTACAGTGATTTACGAAGTTTCGTGGTTCTGTCATGTTTCTCTGCAGAGAAGAGATGGGGAAAACGAGAGTTCAGAGTTTATCGGTGTTTTTTGGACAGGAAATTTGGAAGCTTTGATTAACAATTCAAGCACAATCCAGCCAGTGAAAGCTTCAAAATTCTCGTTACTCTTTTATCGTTGAAGTTCCTTTTACTGTCGAATTTATCATTTTTATGAAAGAATTTAGTTTCATCGAAGTTCCTTTAACTGTTGTGGACAGTTTATCAGAATTTATCATTATTGTAAAAGGATGTAATTACGTTTCTTAGCATTTTGTAACGGAATCATTGGGTCTTGCTTGAACGTACACC